TGAGGTTTCATTTAAAGTGGATGCCAGCTATAATGGCATTTTTTTTTAATTTTTGTTTATCTTAAATGTATGTAAGTATAACAATATATGATTGACCCAAGGTTCTAAAAAACCCTAGGCGCTAGTCGAGCAGCAAGCAGGGGGGGCCTAGCGCCTAGGTAGATTTATGTAAATTTATTAGATTTCTTGTAACTAGGTGTCTATTTACACTTAAAAAAAAAAAAAAAAAAAACCTATACTTGTATGGAATAATAAAAGAATGATAAAATGCAAAAATAGAAGTAGAAGAATACACAAAGTACATCCATCCAACAAATTCAATATTTAAAAATCAATTAGCATATAATCATAATGAGGAGTATTCTTGGATGATAGACTAAATTCTTCTTATTCCTGATCCTTGCATTAGATTGGACATAAACTAAATTATTTAACGTTGCTGTATTTAGTTTATTTCTTTCTTTTTTTTTGTATGTATCCCCTCAAAAGTTCTCCAATTCATTTCACAATTGGATGAACTTGTAGTCAATCCATCATTTGCAAATTAGGTACACTATTTTCCGTAAGTATACCACCATGAAACTATATAAAAAAAATAAAAAATAAAAAAATAAAAAAAAGCACACAATAAAAGTAAAAAAAAGCCAAATCTGCCTGGGACACCTAGGACCGCCCACCTAGCCCGCCACCTAGGCAACCGTCTAGGTCCAGACAGATTTTTCAAAACGATTTGCCCTAAATTGCAATGAGTTTTCACTGTCTAGACCGATTTTTAGAACACTAATAATTAGTATAAATATGATTGATATGTTGTTAATATTGAAACTTTTTATTGATTTTATACAAAATCACCCAAAATAAAATCCAAGGTTCTAAAAGACGCTAGGCGCTAGTCAAGCGGCTGGCTAAGGCCTAGCGCCTTGGCCGCTAGGCAGGCACCTACACGGATTTAATTAAATTTATTATATTTCGTGTAAATAAATGTCTTTTTATACTTAAAATATATATATATGATTTCATCATAAGCTACAAAATGGAATGACATATATATTATGAGCTATTGGAACATAATGAAAACATGGAGAACAAGTATATAATGTGTGTTTCTTTAAGTATTCAACAAGTCTCTTACAATTTATTGAAAAAATAAAATGCAAAATGAAAGTTATCTATTTTCTGTCTAAGTGAGTCGCAACCTAGGCGGGTCTAGGTAGGTACCTTAGTAGGTCTAGGCGGGCACCTCAGTAAGTCTAGGCGCCCTTTCTTATTTTTCAAATGCCTAGGCATTAATCAGAGCGGTAGTTAACGGCCTAGCGCTTAGGCGAGGCCTAAGCAACACTAGGCTGAGATTTTTAGAACAATGATAAATCTCATCATTCTAATTTCCTTCATTTTAAAATTCCTTAGGTTTATGAGGGTGTATTCAATTGAGAATTTGAAGAATTTTAATTCTTTTAAAGAATTCAACGTTTATTTTAAGTGATTCTCTAAAATTCAACGTTTATCAGGATTTTAAGTGATTCTCTAAAATTCAACGTTTATTTAATTAGAATTTTAAGATAGTTTATTAAAATCCTTAGAAATCTAGGTGTATTCAATTATAATTTCAAAAAAGTTTATACCATTTCAAATCTGTTCAATTAGAAATTTATTTTAAACAATTTTAAAAAGTTGAGGTATTGAAGGGAATTAGAGAGATTTTTTAATGCAAAGCATTCACAAATCTTATCTATCTCTCTTAGATTTCGAGAGAATTGAATAAAAAAAATTCATGAAATTTCTACAAATTGATTAAACTTTCCTAAACTTGATGAATTAAGCATTCATAAATTTCACCTTGTTTGGATAACTTACAGAAGGGGACTAAATACAGGATTAGAACAGAGAATTAAAACAAGGGACGTTTTGATATAGATGCCTCGTTTTTAAATGTCATAGACTAAACATCTATTTCTTTTGCAAATTTGATTAAACATTTTCCCTACAATTTTGATACTTTAATTTTTTTTCTTTAGAAGTGACACACCCCGACCGAGATCAAGGCATGCTGGCCGTCATGTGGAAGTGACGTAACCACGTACACAGTGCGGAAGCTAATAAATAAAAATAATAAACGTACGAATAAAATACAAACCTAGCTATACACAAAGTAATAACATACATGTGCAAGCGTAAGTGTGAGAAACAAAGTTCAGAGCACGGGAGACCTAGTGCAGTCCGAGAGAAACAACACTAAAGAAACACACCCAAAGGTGGTCCTACACTGGTGATAATCTATCAGATATGCTGGGAAATCCTCTGGGGAGCCACCAAAAGCACTAGCTAAACTAGAACCTGGAGGGGCGCAAAACAGAAAGCGTGAGTGGGCAAAAACAAAGCTTTTCAAAAATCATTTCATAACAAAGTTCTAACCCCTTGCCGTAAAACCTGTATACTTCCCAGAAAAATAGAATATATACATATATATATAAATCATGTCAGAAATATGCCATGCCAAATGCCTCGAAATAAAATGCAAGTACTCAGGTAATGCCAAACAATGCCATGTAATCTGTCAGTCGGAGTCACCTAACGTGACCAGTACGGCTGAATCTAGAGCTCAAATCTCCAACTCACTAACTATACCTGCACACGAGTCGGAACCACCTAAAGTGGTCTGTACGACAGGACTGGTTGTATAATAAGTACGCTCAAGTGCTACGATCATATGAAGACTGGGCGAATAATCGCGAGTCACCTACGAGTCGGAACCACCTAAAGTGGTTTGTACGACAAGATTGTGCACCTAACTTGGATCCAAGATGAGCGTGTAGTGCGGGAGGTGAACATCACGTGAAGGACTGTGCCCAACTCTGGGCGGAAATACTAACACCGGGGGTGCAGGTTATGAGCTTTCTATGCATCTCAAATCACTACTGGACATAAACATAAACCATAACTTACTTGGCACTTACCTGTGCGTCCGCAGCACCAACACACATATACATATGCAACTAATAATGCATAATTAAATGGGTAAACATAATGCATGTCATATAAATCATATAAACGTTTCATTTCACTTTCTTGGAAAAATATAAGTATATAGGTATATATGGAAAACCAAAAGCCCACTCACTGGTATGTAGAAGGGTCGTAACCCCCTTGCCTCGAGTGACCACGCTCGTCCTCGGGATAGGTCTCACCTATATGCGAAACAACTATAAAAACGTTAATTTTAAAGCACGTAACCAACATTACGAAATAACTTCTCATACAATGCTCAAATGGGGTGTATGAATACACCAATGTGATCTACTCAACCTCACGAACACCCCCATATTTTTAAAATAATCTTCCGACGTCACACGCGCCCCCACACGCCAGCCAAGTCACAACCACACGTGCCGTCCACATGTAGGCACGTGCCTGGCACAATGACAGCGTCAGTTAACGCCGTCAGGAATATTCCGTTAAGTCTAACTGATTCCGTTAACGCCGTTAGGAATATTTCGTCTAAACTGACGAAATATTCCATCATATTCTTTGCCCAACCTCTGGCCAAACCTGCAACTCACGATCCTGACGTCCAAAACCGTCAAACAAACCTCCCCGAGCCTCTTAAGAACCTCACCAATCTTCCTACAAGCTTGAAATTCCCAAAAACACCAGAATTAACGTGTGCATGAATAGTGACCAAAATCGGGGATCTCGAGTTCGACGTGAAAACAAAGGTATCCTTACCTGAAATGGGTATGGTTGAACTCCTAAGGACCTCACGAGCACGAATATGTAGTTTGTTTCCTCGATCCGTCACGATTTCAAGGGTATATGGTGTTGTCCGTACAAAAATGATAGGAAAGGGATAGAGAGAGGGACTCGGGACAGGGCAAAGAGAGAGAAATGAATGTGGGTGTGTGTGTGGTCCAAAATCAACCAATCAAAACCCAAAAACGACCACACAACGAAACAAACATACTAGGGGCAAAACCGTCATTTCACCCCTACGATACTAAAAGTTCGGGACGGGCTGTCACAAGAAGTCTATTCACGTTAGCATTCTCTTTTTTCCTCCTATTTTTATGCATCTCTTATTATGATAATTTAAGATTTTTTTTATTTTTATTAAAATATTTATTTTAGTAAATTAAATAGAATGTAACAAAACTCATTGTTAGGTATGTTTGGTTATATCAGTATGTTTGATTGTAATAGTACATTTAGTTACTTGGTACATTTAAATTTTTGGTCCATTTGGCTTCTTGGTACATTTGAATTTTTAGTACATTTGAATTTTTGGTACATTTAATGTTTGGTACATTTGAATTTTTGGTACGTTTGTTTTCAAAACATAAGTTTTATTACTTTTTGTCCTAATATGGGGAATTACTTTAATCAATTATATTTTTTTATAGAAAGAGTCGTTAACAACGTAAAAGTTTAAATTACTTAAATTAATTATTTTTCTTATAGAAAGAGTCATTAATCAACGGACAATAGCCTTTTTTGTTTATTCAAAATTATATGATTTATCGTTATTATTTAGCATTATCTACAATAATAAGGATTTATCTCCGATCAACTAAAAGTTGTTTCAGAGACTTATCTACCAAAAATGAAAAAACAAGACTATATAGAGCATTGTGTATGAATCAAACATATTTTTAAACATTCCAAAAAGATGAATATTCATTTTAATATAGTTTATACTTGGGTACGTTTTAATTTGGGGTTTGTACGTTTTCATTTGACGTTGGTACGTTTTCATTTAATATTGGTACGTTTCCATTTGGCGTGGTTTACATTTATATTTGAAAAGTTTAAATTTTTAAACTTACATATAGTTAAAATTATTTAAAATTTATAGTAGATATTTAAATATAAATTAATTTTAATTAATGTGAAGTAGTTCAAGTCTGAGTATTTTAATCAAAAGCTTAATAAAAAAACTCAAAAAACATAAATATTTAGCCTACAAAAATATGAAATGAGATATTTAATTCTAATTTTCTCTTAAAACAAGGGTTTAGTAACAAGGGTTTCGCAATCCCATCTCAATCCGTCTCCTCTCTCTCTCGTGCGCTCGCATTCCTTCCGTCGTCTCTCTCTCGCGTTCTCCTGCGTTAAATCGTCTTCTCCATCGCCGAATCGAATGGGCACTTCCACTTCTCACAAGGGATCCAATTCTTCGCCGATTAAGCAGAGCCCAATCTCCAAGACTATGAATTTGAGATCCCAAGCCTCTGGTTGCTGAGAAAATGGGTTGAAATCGATTGGAATTTGAGATCCGACAGATTCAATCGCTGCCTTGTTTTTTTATTTGGATTTATCGTTTTTCTCTTATTTAATAAAAGAAGAAAACACAAACCAGACTCCAGAGAGATGGAAATGGAGCAGCTGCTGAGCATGGGCTTCCCCAGCGAGTTGGCGGCCCAAGCCCTAGCTGCCACAGGAACAGGGGGCAACTCCATTCTCAAGGCCACAGAATGGATTCTCAACCGCGAATCATCCACATCCGCCGGCACTAGCACGAATCCGAGCCCGATTTCATCCGGGCGGCCTTGCCAACCCAAGCTCGACCGCTTCTTTCTGTTCCAGTCCAAGCCTCCTTCCTCCGATTCTCCACGTCCCGTCCCCGCTTCCGCTCGCAAACTACAAGAGGGATCGGAATCCACCCCAGCCGCAGGGGGAGAGGGGCCAGAAGAAGAAGCTCCACTCTCCAAGTCGAAACGTCTCAAACTAGCGATCCCAGCAAACCCCAAAAATGCCGACAACAACACCAACGAGCCGTTGTCGGAGCGCATGCGCCCTCGCACCTTAGACGACGTCGTGGGCCAAGACCACCTACTTGCCCCAAACTCTCTGCTCCGCTCCGCAATCGACTGCGAACGTCTCCCTTCTCTTGTGTTCTGGGGTCCACCAGGCGTCGGCAAGACCTCCATTGCCAAATCCATCATCAATTCCGCCTCCCGCCCTTGCTCCTCCTACCGATTCGTTTCGTTGTCCGCCGTCACTTGCGGGGTTAAAGACGTGAGGGACGCTATCGACGAGGCCCGCAAGAAGAAACAGGCGGCTAAGAAAAAACAAACAGTGCTGTTCGTGGACGAGGTTCACAGGTTCAACAAGTCGCAGCAGGACTCGTTCTTGCCCGTCATCGAAGACGGCAGTATAGTCTTCATGGGGGCCACCACCGAGAACCCTTCCTTCCATTTGATCAGGCCGCTCTTGTCTCGCTGCCGAGTTCTTGTTCTCCACCCTCTGAGACCCCACGCGGTTGAGCTCCTTCTCAAGCGGGCCGCCAATGACTCCGATAAGGGATTGGCTCGCGGTGTGCGGATGCCTGTACATGTCAATGATGAGGCCATCCATTTCATCTCCGCCAACTGCGATGGCGATGCTCGGGTGGCACTCAATGCCTTGGAAGTTTCTGCAACAACAGCAGCTACCCGAGCAGCCTCTACCTCTAGTTCCTCGATCTCTAACTCTACCCCTACCTCTACGAATGATGATGATGATCGTGATCATAATAAGTTAGTGGCTACTGCTGTTGTTACCTTAGAGGATGCCAAAGAGGCCTTGCAATGCAAACATGTCGCCTCTGACAAAGCGGGGGAAGAACACTATAATCTCATCAGTGCCCTTCACAAGTCCATGAGAGGAAGTGATGCTAATGCGGCCATTTATTGGTTGGCAAGGATGCTAGAAGGAGGCCAAGAACCTCTATATATTGCCCGCAGACTCATACGGTTTGCTAGTGAAGATGTTGGGTTGGCTGACCCATCCGCACTGAGCCAGGCCGTTGCTTGTCATCAGGCTTGCCATTTTCTGGGAATGCCAGAGTGCAATGTCATTCTTGCACAGTGTGTGGCTTACTTGGCATTGGCTCCTAAATCTGTCGCTGTTTATAAAGCAATAGGGAGTGCACAACAAGTGGTGAGGGACTCTGTCGGACAGAATGAGGGAGTGCCTCTTCATCTGAGGAATGCGCCTACCAAGCTAATGAAGGAACTTGGGTATGCCAACGGATACATCTACCCACCTGACAATCCCTCAGCCAGTGCCACGCAGGCATATCTACCACCCTCACTTGAAGGTTACAAGTTCCTGGATTGGCCGATCACTAGTAATAGCACCAAAACCAAATCCGATGGATGAGAGGTCTTTGGTTCAGGCATCCGGGAGTTTCGAAGATGGTAATATGATCTAGACTCTGCTGCTGGTTAGTGGTTAGCACTCATCACTGATCTGTTTTTGTGGACGATGATGTTCTTGTGTAACCTGGCAGTGCATATGATTTTTGTTCGTACATATATATCTTTACAACCAGAACCAGACAAATGACAATAGTTTTGAAGTTGCTTACTGTCATGACAAACAATACAATTGGGACTAAGTTTTATGTTCAGAATTGAATATAAATAGGCTTTGGGTTACTCCAACTGTTCTCAAGTGCTAGACGCCCGCAAGTTTCATTGCGCCCACTCAGGAGTTAGAATCGAGGCATTCAATCCCAGCATCAGGGCACTTCCGCTCAAGTATCCTTAAGTCTCCTCTATGTAGGACAAATCCATCAGTTCGTACATTTCTATAATAATTCTTCCACATTATTCTTGAGTAATTGTATGCTCTGAACATGGTTCTACATTATCGTGCCTAACCTGATATTTGGGGATGTTGGGGTTGGGGCATGTCAGTTTGGTATCAGAGCATGGTTTGTTCAGAGCATACTTAAGATCTTCTCCTACTCTAGTACTGTGGCGGCCTTGATATCATTTGGATGTCACAGCTTCCATTTGTTGACATATTTCAGCACAATAGTGCAATCCTCATTCTACTTGAATAGTTAGATCCTATTGAAGAATAAGAAATTAGTGTTGGGATCGTGCCTTAAGTTGATGTAATTGATTGATGGATGACTTTCAACGTCAGACCGATACTCTGCGACATGCGTTCCCTAGGAATGGCGGGCACAGTCGGTTCTACATAGAAATGAATTAGAAGAAACCTTAGAGGGATAAAGATTAGTTGGGATTAGTTGAAGATCGGAAATGATGATAACCCTCTGCGACATGCATTCCTTTGGAATGACGGGCAGAGGCATACCTGTTGGGAGATTGCTCAACACATCTGAAGTTCGTGTTTGAGAAAATCAGGGACAAACCAGTTATAGGCGAAGTGAGCAAGTATCTATGGAGTTGTGGACCCTCATGAAATTTCTCAGTGATCGTTGTACCGATAATACCCTTGTCTACTCCAACCACAAGTTCAGTTTAATAAATATCAACAACCGATTTTATACAAAATTCCTCGAAAGTCAGCCTTGACTAGATTTCGTACATTTCTTGGGAGACCTGAACATAGCAGGAGACATTCTTATCAAATCCAAGGTTATGATAATGGGAAATTGAAAATCTTCTAGAGTGTCATGAATTTCGAAATACCATTGGTCTTATCGATTTCTATCAACGGTTGCTCGATATGTTGTCTTACCCTACCATTATTCTTACACTTTTCGATGACACCAATAAAGTTTGAAAACCTACTATGATATCCTATCGAACGAGTAACTGGGCACTGATGCTGGATGATCGTGTAAAGCTTAGGCATTTCGATGTTGGAACAACAGGAAATGAAATTTCTTATCTATAACCTTCAGTCAACAGCCACCACCCTTACTTGAAAGCTCGATGATACCCTTTTGTGGAGTAATGATTCGATGTACTATTCATCAGTCTATGAATACTATACTTTGAACCAATTGACCAAATTCTTCATTGTTGAAATTTTCATACTCTTTGACATTTTGGTCCGTATCGGCTCTATTCGAAATCTTAGTGTCACTTTTTAGTACTAAAAGATATCTTAGTTAATCCCAGGTTACCCTACTGTTCTTCATATCATTCCTGAAGTAGACATACTATCTAGAAGGACCATTCAGACGTAGAAGTTTTTAGTTAAGTTCATAAGTCATTTAGTCACTTAATCGGCACCTTATCGAGTGAATCTGCACCACTGGTGATTTATTGTTCCTAGAGCTACTGTGGTAAGAATCTTTGTAAATTTTGGGTCGAAGAAAAATCTAAATTTCCGTTCGCCAGTTTCCATTAGACTATCATTTAACCTTGCAAGCTTCTTCGTCATATCTTCATTGGAAATGAGCTAAGTCTCTGGTGACAGTGATTAAGAGGGTATATTAATGTTTACGACTGCACCATTATGTACCACCCCGATTGTGCAAGCGTAGTTGCTAAACACCTCAGCAAAAAGACACATCGATACCCGAATATATTCTTCAACTAGTCCTATTTTTACCTTATGCAGAACATTCAAATATTTTGCGACATGACTCTCGATCATCAGGAAACTGAGCTAGCCAATTTTGAGGTTCGATCACTTTAAGTTATTGTTACCCAATCAAGTTAGGTACTTGTATGTACTCAAGCATCAGAGTTGTATTATCAAATCCCGATATCTTGTATTATAAATTTAATGGACTTGTTTTGACTCTCAAATTCTTGCGTGTTCTTTTAGCCTTCTCAACATGGTTTCTCGCTATTCCCATAAAGAGTTCACGATGGATTGGGTCGACTAAAATGTGCGTCCAGTTTCATATTCGTTTTCACAGGAACATTAGGAGCATAACCTTTTCACAAGCTTACCAAACTTACCAGGAAGAATTCCAAGTAATCTTGAGGAATGAGCCATCTTTGAGTAAGGAATTGGTGATGGTAGAACTGCAGGTTCCGACCCTAGTGATTGTGAGGCTAGTTTCTGTGAATGGTTTGAAGCAGCAAGCATTATTCGAATGAAGTGGCCAAAGTGAGAGCTCCTCCACCATAAGTTTCGAATCTTATACTTCTCGATTGGAGAGCAACGATGGTGATTAGTTATGAAAGAAATGTTTTACGACATGTGTTTACCTCTACACATCTTTCAGCTACATCACTCCACGACTTTATTGTTCGTATGCGCGGAGATATTGAAGCACTTCTAGTAGCTTTGATTGGTGCGCTTTGAAGCAGTGTGGGTGCGTGATCAAGGTGTGAATCAGACGATCTTGGCATATTCCCACATTAAGGGGCAAATGGTAATTTGGGCACCTCGGGAACTTCTCATTAGCTTACCAAGACAACAAAGAGTTATCGGCATTATAGGCTATAAACTGTAATATCAATGGCTTAATTGTTGGGTTCACTAAGCAAGTGGGCAAGTCGTCTCGTTTACGGCAAGAGTTATTAGTTAGCTACAATTAGGACTCGACTCAAGACATACCCATTCTCAGAGTATGTGACATGACGAATGCTTGGGCAAGGTCCAGTTTTATTTTCGTTTTAATTTTGAATTTAAATATTTTAAATTGCATTATTTTATTTATATATGTGTGGTTGCCAATACAAATTTTTGGGTGAGTAATTTTCATTTTCGATTTTAAACTCAGTACAAGTATTTGTATCGTACGTTTTTATGTAACTATTTTTATTGTCGTCTTAATATACGTATATATATTTTGGGACTTTATGTTATTACGTGATCATATATGTATTCTCAAATTTATATTTTTATACGAGTATTATACTATACTATTATATCGAGGAAGGAAAAAGGTACGAGTTTAGAAGCAAGAAAGAGGAATCATTGCAATTTGATCGCGATGGAGTGACATTTTTTTTTATGCAACCGTTCTAACTTGATTTCACCTTTGTAGATATATTTATATTTATATACATATATTTATCTTTACTTTTGAGTATTTTACTTATAGCAAGATATTTTAAATTTTAGGGACGAAATTTTCTTAAGGGGGGTAGATTATAACGACCCGTCCCTAAATATTACAAATTTTATAGTTTTAAAATGTGAAATTACAAAAATGCCCTTCGAGGCAAATATGTTGACTTTGGTTGACAGCCTTGTCGTGTCACGTAAGATCTATTTTCTTAGCGTATTCTCGTAGTACTCGTCACTACGAATGCGTGGGGTGTAAACAGAATGTAATTTGGAGTTATAACAAATGAATTATTAACAATCGAAGTTAAGGGCAAAATGGTCATTTGACCATAAATATGGAAGGCTCCAAATTTTGTTGGAGCATCAATTTGGTGCTACGTGTGCGGCTGTGATGGAAAGAAAAGGAAAGAAATGAGGGGGAGATGCCTAATTAGGGAAGTAAAAGGGAGAGTGAACCAATGAGAGATGAGAGAAATGAGGGAAAAGAGGGAAGGGAGGAACCAACCAACCTGGACCTCCCTTTGACCCGAACAACCGGACCCGGTGGGAACCATGGAATCTGATGCTTCCTTTGACCAAATTTCGGTGAATTATGCCGTGACACCACCTAAGAAACACTCCACAACCCTCCCTCTACCAATTCCACCCCAAAATCAGAGAAATTAGGCTTAAATTCTCAAAGCACAGGTGGGTGCAATGGTTCTACGGCGGCGATGCGTCAATCACAAAGTAAACTCCATCAACCACCACCACCAATAGACTTCCATCAACCTTAAGAGCAAGGCCCAAGTATTGGATAAGGCGTCGAAATTCGTTTAGGCATCGAATCAAGAACACTTATTTCTAGGGTTTCCAGCGGATCGAGGTGTTTTCAGGCCACTTCCTCGTCGAATTGGACTTCGACCCATGTTTGAAAGTTGTTTCTCTCATTGAGATCTACATTCTTGTAAAATTTGGGAATTTTTGGAGTTGTGAATTTTCCGGCTAGTCGGGGCTACTGGTAGCCGCCTCGTGGTGGTTCGTGCGGCAGCGTGTGGGTGGGAACTTGAAGTCCCTTCTTAGGTTTTTCGACGTGCCAAATTTGAATCTGCCGTCTGTTTTCCCAAATTCTAATGTTTTCATAGAGTTTTATTAAACAGTATTTAATTGTGTTTAGGTGTGTTGGTTGAAAGTGACATCGTTCTCTTTAGTTTGAGCGGCTCCCCAGCAATGGAATACTTTGAGTAGACCCCTTCTAAACTTGCATGTTGTTATAAAGTATTAGGCTTGCATTCATGAAAAGCATGATTTCATCATTTTACGTTTTATGCATTATTTATGTCACGCCCCGATCCCCACATACGTCCAGGATCGACACGTGACGTCACCAAATACCCGTATCTCTAACATACCTCGCCTCCGGGATATAGGCAAAGCACAACTCGCAGTCCAACTACGTAATAATTTTTCGCAAACTTTATGGCTGCATCTAACATCCTCGTTAGACTGCTTACGTACCCTAAACAGGGATCAACCCATTCGTAGTTCTTCATTCACTACACTCGAACAATATTCCCATAAATCACTATATCTCAACATAATATCACACAACAGGCATGCAACATCTCGAGAAACATTCAACGAAGCTCAACATAAATCTCTAGCCAAGTTGGTCAACGAGTCTAATCATAATAACAACAATCACAACCAATATCATTCCACAATC